TTGGGGGGAGAAATGGGAAAAATTCTGGGGGAAAAAGGGGAAAAATTGGGAAAAGGGAACGAGCTCGAGGGCAGAAAATGGAAAAAGAGGAATTGGTTTGGGGGAAAAAAGGGGGAGAAGGGGAAGGGTTTTTTGGGGGGGGGGGGAAATAGGGGGGAATGAGGGAACTGCTGTGGGTCCGCACTTTGGATGGGGTGGAATAGGAATCCAAGAGCTGCTGCTCCTCCTCCTCCTCCTCCTCCTCGTCGAGGCTTCGGTCGTTAAGGAATGTGGCGCTCATTAATTAAAGGCTGCCTTAATTAGTGTTAATGAGCGGTGGAAGGGCTCAGCCCACTCTGTTTGGGGGGTTTGAATGGGAGAAGCCCCCAGATCCACATTTTCCTGCTGCGGTTTTGCTCGTTTTCCTACAAAATCCCCCCACATCTGAGGGATTTCCCACAACTTCACCCCATTTTATAAGAAATCCCCCAGATTTGCCCGATTTCCCACAGATTCCCCCCAAAAGAGGCAGATACAGCTCCTGCAACGTGTGCACGTCGTGCAGGCAGCGGCTGTCCGTCCTGCGGGTCCGTCTGTCCCTCCTGCTCAGCACCTATGGGGGGTGGGAGGGAATGAGGTCCCCCCAGAGCTCCCAGCACCGTTTTGGGGTGAATTTGAGGGATTTTGGGGTCTCACCTCGTGCTCAAAGGCGCTGAGGACCTCGGGGCTGAGCTGGGGGTCGAGGGCTTTGCTGGTGATGAAGGCGAGCAGCTCGTTAGCCAACGTCACCGGGTCCAACGAGTGGGACAGGCAGAGCTCCAGCACTGCGGGGGGCACAGAGATGGGGCGGCCCCACAACCATGGGGGGGAGGGGGGGGCAGGGGGTCCCGAGGCCCCAAATCAGCTCCTGTGATGCCCAAAGCCCCCCCAAAATGACCTGACATCAGCCCCTCTTCCCCCTCACGTTTATCGGTCGCGTCCTCCCCGTCGCAGCGCAGCTCGAACAGCGCCAACTCACGCAACACCGCCTCCACCGAGATCGGAACCGAAACCGGGACCGGGACCGGCACCGCATCCCGCTCCGGGGCCGCCATCACCGCGGGAAAAAAAACCCGCGCCGGCGCGAAAAACCCACGTGAGAACGAAGGAGGGGGCGTAACCTCTCCTAATTAGGAGAGTGGGGCGTGGCCATGCAGATTTTAAGTACAGGCGGCCAATGGGGGAGGGAGGGAGGAGGAAGGGGGCGAGGCCTCTCCTAATAAGGTGAGGGGTGGGGACATGGAGATTTTAAACACGGGGGCCAATGGGGGGGAGAGAGGGAGGTAGAGGGCGTGGCCTCTCCTAATAAGGCAAGGGGCGTAGCTATGCAGATTTTAAACACAGGGGACCAATGGGAGAGGGAGGGAGGAGGAAGGGGGCGGGGCAAAGAGAGAATTTGGCGCCGGGAGGAAAAGCGTCCCAAGGGCCCCAAATCCGTCGGAACTGCCCCAAAATCCCCCAGCAGCTCCACGACCCCCCAGAACAGCCGAATCCTCCCCAAAAACGCGCCCCGTGGCCTCAGAGCCTCCTCGCGGACGCCCAAACGTCTCTCCCGACCTCAAACCCCCCCACAAACCTCTCTGCCTCCCCCAAATCCTCACAATCCTCCCCCAGCCCACCCTGCGACCCCAGAACCCCATTCGGGGTCCTTCCCCAAAATCCCTCGTAGCCATTTTTTTATTATTATTATTATCCTTCGCAGACACAACAGATGAAAAAAAAAAATCCCATAATAAAAAGAAATAAAAATATAAAATCTGCCCCAAAATGTACAGCATCAGTTCGGCACTTGGGTGGGGGGCCCTGAAGCAAAGCAAGGCGAGTTTGGGGGAAAAAAGGAGAAAAAGGGGGAAGAAAAGGGGGGGAAAGGAAGAGGAGAACAAGGGCAGGGCTTTGGTTCAGCCGGCTGTGGGGTTCAGAGTAGAAAAACACGGGCGCCCTGCAGGAGATCCCTGATTCGCTGCCATCCCAAAAGCAAAACCCCGCTGCGGGGCGGGGGGAAATGGGGAGGATTCGCCCCAAAAGGGGGCTGCGGGTCGGGGCGGTCGTGGGTCGGCGTTGCTGTGGGGTCAGCATTGATGTGGGGTCAGCATTGATGTGGGGTCGGCGTTGCTGTGGGGTCGGCGCCGTCCCACGGAGCGCTCAGGCAAACATGGTGAGCTGCAGCCACTGCAGCCGGGAGCAACGAGACCCCAAAATGAGCAAAGGATCCCAAAACGTCCCCAAATGGGGCAAACATGGGGCCCAACGAAGCCAAAACAGCCCCAAATGCTCCCAAATGATCCCAAACACCCCCAAAAGGAGCCCAATTAACCCCAAAATGTGACCCCAAGTGACACCAAAGTAATCCCAAATTATCCCTAAATGGCCTGAAATGACCCCGTAACTGCCCCCAAAATGAACACAGACCCCAAAGTCACCCCAAAAGACCCCCAAATAATCCCCAGATAATCCCCAAATGGCCCCAAATGACGACAAAATGAACCCAAAGTGCCCCAAATGCCCCCAAGTGCCCCAAAATGCCCCAAAGTGCCCAAAAGTGCCCCCAAATGCCCCAAAGTGCCCCAAAATGCCCCCAAGTGCCCCCCCACCTGCAGGAGTCCGAAGGTGACGACGCCATCTTTGTCCCCATCCATGGCCTGGAAAAATCCTTTGGGGGAAAAAGGTGGGATTTTGGTACAGGGAAACATTTTGGGGGGAATTTGGAGCTTTTTGGGGTCGATTTGGGGGGAAAAAGGGGAAATTCTGCGCGGTCGAGCACTAAAACTGGTGATTTTTGGTAACAGTTGGAACGACCTCATGGGATTCGGGGGGAACGAGGGAATTTCTGTGTTTTGAGGGGAAAACCCCAAAATCTCATGGTTTTTTTTTTTTGTGGATTTCTTCATCCCATGGAAGTTGTTGATTTCTGGTAAAAATCGGGAAAACCAGACCAGATTTTGGGGGGAAAATGGGAAACCCGATGGGGGCTGAATGGGAAAAGCAGGAGGAAATGGCCGATTTTTAAGGAGAAAAGCCCCAAATGCGGCGTTTTCCACGCAGGTTCTCCCCTCCCCGGTCGGAAAGCAGCGATTTGGGGCTGCCCCCAGTGCTGGAGGGGGAAGGCGCTCACGGAACATCGTCTCCAGGCGCACGAGGCAGCAGACGAAGGAGTCGAAGTCGATGGCCAGGTCGGGCTCCGCATAGCGGGTGATGAGCAGCTGGTGCAGCTTCTGGCTCAGCTTGTAGCCTTTTGGGGACGAAGCGTGCGGTTTGAGGGGGGGCTCCGTGATGGGTTAATTAAGGGTGACCGGGTTAATTAACGAGTGCACTACCTGATGCTTCCAGAGCCAATCGCATCTCATAGGCGCTCATACTGCCTGACTTGTCCAGGTCGAACTTGCGGAACACAGCCTGGGGGGGGCAAAGGGGGGGGATAAGTGGGACCCGAAAATGGGGGGGGCATCAGTGGGACCCGAAAATGGGGGGGGGGGGGGGCATCAGTGGGACCCCAAAACTGGGGGAGGGGGGCATCAGCGGGACCCTACTGGAAACCCAGACCCCCACCCCCACCCCATCACCCCCCTTAACCCCCCCAAAACCCCACAATCCCCCCCGCAGCCCCTCCCCATCCCCCATGACTCCCCCCCACACCCCATAACCCTCCCCCACCAAAACCCCACAACACCCCCCCAACTTCCATAACCTCCCTCCCCAGCCCCCACCCCACAACCCCCTTCCGAAACCCCACATCTCCCCCCAGCCCCCACCAGGTAATTGCGGATCCTGTTCCACAGGACGTTGAACTCCACCAGGCCCAGCTTCCCGTTCCCATCTTTCTATGGGGTGAGGGGGAGTTAAGGACAAACTGGGAGATTTTGGGGCACAATTCCTGGAAATTAAAAAAAAGAGCAAAAAGGAGGAAAAAAACCTAAAGTGGGCATAAAGTCCCAAAAATAAAGGAGTGAAAGGCCCCAAAATGGATGAGAAAGCCTCAAAACGGTGAGAAATGGGCAAAAAGGCCAAAAAAGTGTTGGAAAAAGAGCACAGAAAGGTGAAAATCCCTCAAAAGCCCTAACAGCTAACAGACCCCACAGCAGCTGAAAAGCCCTACAAAAGAGGTGAAATGGGGGGATTATGGGATCTGGATAGCCCAAAATTGGTGAAAAAGCCCAAAAAAAGGATGGGAAAAATCCCCAGATGAGAGGAAAATGGGCAAAAAGGGGGAAAGTGCCCCCAAAAGAGGAGGATACGTCCATCAGGTTGACCATGCTGCGGCACGACTCGATGCTGAACCCTTTGGTGCGCAGGTCCTTATCTGCAAACAGAAACCCCAACAATTCCTATGGGAACCCAAAAAGGGAGCCCAGGAACGGACGTTTTTGTTCTGGGCCCCAAATGAGCCGTTCTGGGGGGTTTTCAGCCCAAAATGTGCGTTGCCCCCCCTCACGTTTGGCGATGATGCGGTTGAGGATCGTCTGCAGCTCCGTGACGCTGATCTCCATGTCCTATAGGGCAGATCATAGGGCTGCACCCCATAACAGCCCTAACATCCCATGGGGCTGCACCCCATAACAGTCCCCACATCCTATAGGGGGTGTGAGCTGCTTGACTCCTATAGGGGGATATGGGCTGTGGTTTCTATAGGGGGGGCTGTGGTTCCTATAGGGGGGGCCTGGGGTTCCTATAGGGGGGACTGTGGTTCCATAGGGGGGCTGTGGTTTCTATAGGGGCTGTGGTTCCTATAGGATCTGTGGTTCCCATAGCGGCTCTCACCGGCCCCGCCAGCTGCCTGAAGAGCTGCTTGAAGTTCTCATCGATCTCGGCCTCGGACAGCACTTTCTGGGGGGAAAAAGGGCAGTTTTGGGCAAAAGGAGGCGGCGATGGGAAGGGGGGGAGGTTTTGCTTTCTGGGGGGGCTTTGGTGGGAGGAGTGAATGGGGTTTGGGGGGGGTGGTTAAGGGTTTTGGGGAGAAAATGGGGTTTTGGGGGAAAAATGGGTATTTAGGGGGGAAAAGTGAGTTTTTTGGGGGGATAAATAGTGATGTTTTTTGGGGGGGAAATTGGGTTTTGGGAGGGGGAAATTGGGTTTAGGGGGAAAGATAGGGTTTTTTGGTGGGAAAACAGAGATTGTGGGGGGAGAAATGGGCGTTTCTGGGGAAAAAGTAATTTTTTTTGTGAGATAAACAGGGATTTGAGGGAACAAATGGGGGTTGGGAGGAAATGTAGAGCTTTTGAGAGCAAAAACGGCACTTTTGGGGGAGAAAAGAGCAGTTTTAGTTAAAAGCCTCACCTCATCCGGGAGCTTCGCCTCGATTTTGTCGTCCATTTCTCTGCGAAGAAAAACAGGAATGAAAAATTACGGGTGGGAATGAATGAACGGATGGACGGATGGGTGAATGAATGGAAGTGGGTGGGAATGGATGGATTAAACATTATGGGATGGAAGGAATGAATAAAAAACAAAAACAGGTTGGGAGAAGCGAACGGAAAATTATGGGATGGAATGAGTGAAATGCAATGGGTTGGGATGGATGGATGGACAGACGGACGGATGGATGAATGAAAACCAATGGGGGTGGGGGTGAATGAATGGAAACCAATGGGTGAGGATGGACGGATGGACGGACGGATGGATGGATGGGTGGGTGGATGGAAACCAATGGGTTGGGATGGGTGGATGGGTGGATGGACGGATGGATAGGTGGACGGATGGGTGGATGGGTGGACAGATAGACGAATGGAAACCAATGGGTTGGGATGGATGGATGGATGATGGATGGGTGGATGGATGGGTGGATGGATGGATGGGTGGACAGATGGACAAATGGAAACCAATGGGTTGGGATGGATGGATGGATGGATGGATGGATGGATGGATGGATGGACGGATGAGCGGACAGATGGACGAATGGAAACCATTGGGTTGGGACGGATGAGTGGATGGATGAAAACCATGGCGCTGGGACGCACGAATGCCAAGAGCGGGGTGGGAGGGACGCCGACCGCAGGGGTGGCGCGGAGGCGGAGGTTCGTTAGCGCTAACGAGGGAGGCTCACTCAGTGCCCGCCTTCTTCTCGGAGAAGACGCGCAGCACGAAGTCTCCCTCGCGGTTGGGCTCGAAGGTGGAAGGCACCACGATGTACTCGCCGGGCGGCAGGCGCAGGCGCGTGCTGACCTCACGCAGGTTGATGAACTGCTCGGAGCGAGCGCGGGACGCGTTGGACAGGAAGAAATCGCGCGGCAGGTGGAGCCCGGAGCGACCCAGGTGCTGTTGGGATGGGAGAGGAAAAGGCGGAGCGGAGGAGGGACGGCCCGATGCGGTGAGCGATGTGTGATGGAGGAGCCGCCGGGAGCCGGCCGGGAGCAGGAGGAGTACGAACCTCTGGGGGAACCTGGAGGGGGTGGGAAGGGAGATGGGGGTGAGGTGGTGTGGGGAGGCGGGAGGACAGACACACAGACAGGCGGACAGATAGGCAGGGACA